ATAAAGCAACTTTGGTGTTCATCGGTATTCTGCTATTCTCAACATGTAAGAAAATTAAATCTCATGCGTTGTTACATTCATCAGTATCACATTTATCCTCAGTATTATATACTACCCTGATTAATAACATATTAATTCTCGCAGTTGCTCAGATCTTGGCATATAAGGAGTTGTGCAAGAATGACTCTGACTGTGAAAAAATATGTGGAAAAGAGATGGTGTCATCATGTGTATATAATGTGAGGTGTGTATGCATTACCAGAGAACCTCTTACCAATCAACAAGCTTGCTTTGACCATTGCAAGTCAATAGGAGAAATAGTTTCTCTTTGGACTCCACACAATAACAAATGTTATTGTCGCAAACCTCTTATGTAATAATAACAAAATGAAGAAAAACTATATATTTTTTTCCACAAATTGTATCATCCTATATTTTATTGATATTGTTTATGCTTTTTTACTAAAGTTTCGTTAAATTATATTAAATACAATGTCAAATCATATATAATTACATAACATAATTTACTACACAAAACTAGTACATCATATGTTAAAATGGATTAAATATGCTTTATGTTATGGTCCGAACAAAAGTGACTAATTCGCCGCCAAAAACAAATTCATGATATGTGTGATATCCTATTTACTGATGACTCTTTGCGTCTGAGATTATTTCTTGATCATATTAATAAAACTCGTTAACTTTGAAAATTAATTCTGGAAGCATAGTTATTTTATACTTACTATCTTGTATTAGTATCTTTATAAATAAAATATATTTTTTTATAACCTCGATATTAAACATTAACAGTGTCGGACTTGACGACATTATTATAGCACATAAAGATTTAATCCATATTTTGTGAGGCCCAAATATTTTTAAAAAAATTATAAATTATAAATTTTTCATATTTATTTAAAATAAAGTAATAAACTACATATAACCAAAATTGTTTATACAAATAATCCTTTTTGTCAACTTTATTCAAAATACTAATTAATCATGTTATATGTAGATATGTTTTAGAAATTATTTCAATTATACATTCGTTTCTTCAAAATTATTCAAATAAATGAAATTCTATATAATTATTTAATATAT